GGTATGTTTCTATGTTGCTTTGTTTTTTGGTAATTTTTTTTGCAGTCCCAGTGTGGGACTTGCTCTGTTTATTTATTTTTATTTTATTTTTTGGTATTTAAAAATTAGGTGCTGCTTTTTAATTTAAAAAATGTTCTGGGTGGGTTTTGGAGGGTAGATTTGGGCTGGAGGTATGTTTCTATGTTGCTTTGTTTTTTGGTAATTTTTTTTGCAGTCCCAGTGTGGGACTTGCTCTGTTTATTTATTTTTATTTTATTTTTTGGTATTTAAAAATTAGGTGCTGCTTTTTAATTTAAAAAATGTTCTGGGTGGGTTTTGGAGGGTAGATTTGGGCTGGAGGTATGTTTCTATGTTGCTTTGTTTTTTGGTGATTTTTTTTTTGCAGTCCTAGTGTGGGACTTGATGTTTCTTTATTTTTATTTTATTTTAAATGTTGGTATTCAAAAATTAGGTGCGTCTTAATGTCTGGTGCGTCTTATGGAGCAAAAAATATGGGTAATCATCCGAACTATCCATATTTCAATATGAAATCAACTTTCTGCTTTTTTAAAACTATTTGATTACCCTCCAGTTATCAACCTACAATTATATTTTAGTTTAAACCTAAGTTACTCCAGCACTGTAAGAAAACCGAGACCATTTGTAAAATACATCCCATCGTTCAATTTCCTTTTGATTTGGACAATCATTTAGCACGCCTGAAAGAATATCCCTTTCTGTCGCTTCTTATATTTTCTCAGTACGCTCCTCTTGTTTCCGTAGCTCTGCTTTCTTCCAATTATTGGAAGAGAAGAATGGATCCAAGACCGTAATCCAATTTTTAACATAACATTTTCTGACTGTGGTGGTTAAATAGCTCACTGGGTAACTCTTTAACCCATCTATGTTACCTAGTATACCTTACTCAATAAACACAGTTCTGGAGTTAGTACAATTTCATTTAACTGTTGTTTAAGATCTGATAACTTCTCTTTCATCAGATCTTCTATCTGGCTGAGACGCTCATTTACATGCTGAATACTGTTACTATTATCTTTTGCATGGTAGTATGCCATGTTTCATCTGATTTTTTTGCCCCTATTCCCAAATTTTGAGATTGGGCAGACAAAGTCCCCAACATTTGATATTTAATTTTTTTGAGGCCATTACAATCTTTCAAGTAAGTAGGGTCTGTATAAATAGTACATCCTTGACCAAAGTGGCCAACCCATTAATATCTTTCTGAAATTTCCACTATTTTATCAACAAACCCAACCTACAATCATAAACCTCCCCAAGTTTCTTCCTCCCATCCTTGCACAGATATTATAGTATACAGTGGTGCCTCGCATTACGTTAATTCATTCCAGCGAAATCGCTGTAGAACGAAAACATCGTAATGCGAAATTAAAAAGCCCACTGAAACACATTAAAACCCGTTTAATGTGTTCCAATGGGCTGGAAACTCACCATCCAGCAAAGATCCTCCATAGGGCGGCCATTTTCGGTGCCTGTGCAGTGAGGAATCTGTCCCAGAAAACAGCGGGGAGCCATTTTATTTACCTGGTGGCCATTTTGAAACCGCCAATCAGCTGCAGGAAAATCATTGTTTTGTGAAGAATTGGTTCCCGAAGCAGGGAACCGATCATCGCAAAGTGAAAAAACCCCATTCAGATCATCATTTTGTGATCGCAAAAATATTGTTGTAATGCTGTTATGTCGTAATGCGGGGCAATCATAAAGCGAGGCACCACTGTATAAATCAACTTCTAGCCCAACAATTTAGATTACACCTGTGGCAATATTATGAGAGTCCCACACAGTCCAGCCCAAAAAAAATCCAGACTAAACAGCAGACACAGGGAGTCAGTCTCTCCAGTAGATATCCTTATAATCTGCCTGATGTTCTTTCCATTAATCCAAGGGTTCAATAACAGAAGAAAACTCCAGTCCTGGTTTTACTAGCTCCTCGGTCTAGTTGTTTGTGTCGTCTCGCTAATGATTCACAGTCGAATTTCTTTCTCCCAAAAGCTTATTCCTTCTTCTCCAAAAACCCAGCAAGATTCTGTTATCAAAGTCCCACACAGTCTAGGGAGAAAGGCCCAGGCTAAACAGCATTCACAACATTTCAGTCTCTTAAAGCCTGTTTGTTGGTATTTCACTCTGGGATATTTTCCATAAACAAAAGATTTTTCCATCTCACTGTCTCTCTCTTCGGCCTTCAACCAGCCTGCGGTTTAAGAGTCAGTTTCATTTCTGAAGAACCAGGATGGTAAGCAAAACTCACCGCTCCTTATCTTCTTTCGGTCAAGTATTTTCACTCTAATTTTTTTTTAGCTTAATGGGGTTGTTTATAAATCAAAGACTTCAACTTACTTTGTTGTTATATATTTTCAATGCCGTATTGCTTGTTCTCCTCTCCTCGGGGGGGTGGAGTTGCTCACAGCCATTTTGCCAAGATGGCTCGCGTATCCGATCCTTGCTTGGGTGAATTTTCAGAGGGTCCCCCATTTCTAGAGGGACCCCAGACCGGGCAGTTCCAGCTTTTACCTGGGAGCTATTCCCGGAGGCAGCTGGCAGCACCGCGGCAAAGCTCCGCCTCCCAAGATTTAAGCTTTCAAACGTACAGCAGGAAATCCATGGTACAAAACTGCTCTTATCTTCATGACGCAAGTGACTTTGGAAGCAGAGTGAGGGCTGTAACTATGGTTTCAGACATCATGCCAAACCATAGTTACCATACATGATCTGCAAACACTTCAAACTATGATTTCTAGTTTTGGTAGGTCACAATCCATCCTGAAATCAATTCGGACATCACTTCAAAATTACAACAAACCTTTCTTAACTGTGATTTGGCATGACTGTCAAGCACAAGAGCTACGTCTCTCTTGGTATGCAAGAATATCACCTGATCTGAGTGCAATTTGAAAGCCTTGCCTCTGACCACTCCTGCTAGCATACGCAACAAGTTCCAGTCAATGAGTTCTTTCTACGCCTCCCTTCTCAGCCTGAATAGGAATTGCCAGGCATGTGCTCATTTCACTTCTGTTTGCCTATGACGGCTGCACAGATTAGCAGAAGTGGTTTAAATATAAGCCACAAAAATGGGTTCCTGTACTTCAATTTAGCAACATACCTGTATTTTCCAATGTTGTTGAGATCTGCAAGTTGACAGTCTGTAACCTGTTTTGTATAATGTTCAAAGAGAGGCATCCTCCAAACACGGTCCCCTGTCAGAATACTTGCCTACAAATTTAAATACATGATGGGTAAAGAAACCTACATAATACTTCTACACAGACCTGTATACAATGTAATTCTGTGGTAAATGACAAGCTAGACAAAATCCTTAGATTCAAATTAAAGAAGACACTTCATGAGCAATAAGTATCTCTCATACTGATTCTTCATCCATTCATGATGCAACAATGGCTCAAATTCTATTGCTTAGCATTGTAAATTGCACTAGAGTAAGACTGAGTGAATGGGGATTTGGTGAGTCAACTCCTCCAAATTTTATTGATTCAAATGGGCTTACTCTTAACTGTGATTTACTTCAGCTCAGTAAGTCACAGTTAAGTGTAAGTCCATTTGAATCAATGAAACTTATGGAGAAATTGACTCACTAAATCCTCACTGATTCACTGACCTTCTCTAGAGCAATTAATTACACTAAGCAACAAGATTTTGGCCATAACATCAAGCTATGCTTTCTCTCTTATTTTGTTATTCCAGCACTGGCACACACAAAATCATCCATTCAGTAATTAGTGGAGAGACAGAGAAATCATGACGAAGATCAACAGCACAGACGTGTAACGTTCTGATACCAGAAATCTTACAGTGAGCTTGGAAAACCCACAAATAAACATTACAAAAAGCCCAAAAGGTTTCACTTGAGAAGCATTTCTCTCTACCATGGACAATTTACCTTAATAATCAACAATACAAAAAACATGTACCATGAAATGTGGTACTGTGAATATCCATGGGACACACTTGTAAACATTTCAGCAGTATCTTAGAATTAACCAGGATGGAAAAGCCCTTCTACCTTTCAGTATGATACTGAAATACTTATGGTTAGGGCATATTCATGTATGGAACAAAGAGGACTTTTTTTTCTTTCTTCATTTTTTGTTAATACAACAAAATCCACACTGATCAGGATACACATTAAATTTGGTGTTTTCATTTTCCCTCAGACAAAATGAGGATTTTTAACATTCTATAATCAACACCTATTATGTCTCATCAATACACCAGAATTGTAAAACAGACCATAACAGAGATAGGATCATTCGATCTATTCTATTGGATCAGACAAAAGTCCCATCCTCTGACTTGCAGCAATGTTGAGATTCTCCCAGGAATCTTACACACATATCATTTTTCTCTAGCATGTTGCTCACAAGATGATGCTTCATTTTCATTTCTTGAGGCTCACAGCTACTGACTGAATATCAATTTGTTTAAATTTGCCTCAATTGCTATCTTCACCCCTGTTATCAATACCATGACTTACCTTGTACAGATGGTTCCACAGTTTATCTGAATTGGTAAAAACGCCTGTGGCTGCAGATCCTAGGGCTACATCCATGGCACCTATACAGTATTACAGAACTCAGGTTATTAACCATCATGCAAAGTAAGGATTACTTTGGTTGTTCATTTTTTAACATATATTACAATAAACAAAGTGGGCAGCATGTGATCCTTCAGATATTGGACTGAATTCCCCATTATCCCTCATTATTGGCCATACTGGCTAGGACTGATACTTTCCAATACATGGTTAATTGATGAGGTGCCAGGGTGCATCCCGACTGCACAAATGAGTGTGTGACCAGATTGCACTCCTGAGCCTCAAGAACTAGCCTGAGTTAGCCACAACAATTACACCAACATTTTGCAAATAGCAATAGGATTCTAGCCATTCCTTTATCAGATGAGACTTCCCTCCTGTTTATATAGATACAATGGAGTGAAGGACAGGGCAACAAGTGGAGTAGCTGGTGTATGATATTTATATTTCTTTTGCGGCTCAAATATGGCATCTAACTGATGACCCTCCACATGGGTACACTAAGAAACGATTCTCTCTCTCTCTCTCTCCCTTTCCAGTTTAAAAAGACTGGGGTCCCTGTACAGGGAAGCTTGTGTACAGGATCTGTGGAGAAATGTGTATCTTATGTTTGCTTCCAGACTTGTCCCTAGAGAAGGTTAGAGCCATCTACCATTTTAGTGACTTAAATGGTACTGCAAGCTATAGACAGATTTTAATTGACTAACTTAAATGATCAGTTCAAAGTCAAAATAACCCCAAGCTGCACATTTCCAGGTTCCTCTTAATATCCATGACAAGGTCTTTCAGTCTTGGAGCTACGATGAGGATGAACACAGGTATTATTTATCCAAAGGAGATAGTCATCAGAGTGTAACTGGCAAATATCAAACCAGTAGATATTTGATACCTGTTAATGTGGCAGCATCTACGATGGCCCTTGGATTAAAACTATGAGCATAGCAAAGAGCATCAGCCAACACCAATCTTCCTTCGGCATTGGTGTTATCAACCTATCATGGTGGAGGACCAAAAGAGAAAATATTAGTGAGCATACTTTGTTATTTATTTGTTAAAAATATTGAAATACTAAATTATCACTCTCCTTGGATGCACATCTTAATGTGACGAAGGGATTTAATGTGTCAGTGAAACTGAGAACAATGCCATCAGGAGGCCAGATTCCATTCTAGCCTGAACTCCTAAAAGGCTCACCCAAGGCAGAATGCTTATAGCTGAGTCATCAGACTAAGATGCATCTACCTTCTTCAAACGTAGCTGAAGGTGGCACTGGTGGAGAAGGCAACAGCAGTGATACTCAAGGTGACAATGGTAAACCACTACTGAACTTTCTTTACCATGAAAATTCTAGCTGACAGTCCAAAATGAAATAAGAGATAGTACTGGAAGATGAGACTCCCAGGTCAGAAAGCACTTAACCAATTATTGGAGAAGAGAAAAGAACTTGTTTGAAAGCACTGATGCTAATGACACAAGTATATCAAAGCTGATGAGCACAGAGGTGAAAGGAAAGTCAAATGCTGCACAAAACATACAACTGGAACATGAAACATGGGAAGCATTGAATAAAAATACAAAGGAAACTATAAATGTATAAACGTTTCAGTGAACTGAAATTGACTGGAATGGGAATTACAAAACTTTAATGCTGACAATAAAGAAGCTGAAATGGTTAAAGATTTTGTATACCTTGGTTCAATCATCAATACAAATGAAAACTGTAGCCAAGAAACCAGAAGAAGACTGAGACTTGGAAAGGTAGCAATAAAGCAATTAGAAAATATAATCTAGAAGGATTTGTCAATGGAGACAGAGAACGTCACCCACACAATTGCATTCCTGATGAGAAATGGGCTCAATTATGATTTGTTTTGATTTGTGATTCATCAAGTTTTTTTCCTGACAAATCAATATGTAAATTCTTTTTTTTTACTTTAAAACCCTATAAAATAGTCCCCAAGTACCTAGAGACATCGAATTTGCAGGGAAGCTGTCACATTCCCACCTGTCCCTTGGTTGTTTCACCAAAGGTGCAAGCAATGTATCATTCAGCTGCCACGAGTAGATTACATCAACTTTATTTACTATTAATGATAGAGGATCAAGCAATGTATCATTTAAGAACCAAGTAGAAATTGTTTATTGTTACAGGTGATAACAGTTCAGTCAATGTCATTAATTCTCAACTAAACAACCTTCTCTCTTCAGTCTCAACCACCTACTCTCACTCTTTCTCTTCACCCCATCCAGGGCTTCTGATTGGAATAGATCCATATGTCTTTATCCACAGTAACAGTATGTATGCAATATTTAATATAGCATAGAACAACTGTGGTGTACTCCTCCAGGTCCGGATGATAGAAACTGCCCCAATTTGTTTTCTCAAAACAGTCCTGAAGTTGCTGTGAGGTATCTTTAGGCCAAGATTTCACTGACTTTATTATAGGAAAAGTCTGTCTTCTAAGAGGAATGTATGTTGGCGCCAAAAACAGTGACATATGATCTGAATATCCTAAGTGTTGTAATTGTATAGCAGTATAGCCATGCTTAATGTTGGTACATACTTTGTCCAGCGTATTCACTCCTCTGGTAACACATTAACATGCTGTTAAACTTAGGTAACACAGTCTTTAATTCAACGTGTTTGAAATTCCCTACCATAATAAATACAGCGACAGGATTCCTATTCTGCTGATTGTCCACCATATTACAGTATAGAGTCCCAAAGCTGCACTGGTATTAGCATCAGGTGGAATATAGACCCGTGGAAGATATATTGGTCTACATCTAACAGTCATATACTCCAAATCCTTAGAGCAATGGCTATCAACAATCTTTGTATTTGTGCATCAGCTTCTGTTCACATAAAGACTTAAACCCCCTCCTTTACTCTTTCTGGTATCCCTCCTCCTGTCTTGTCAGTGAGCTATATAGCCCTCCAGCTTAACCTCTGTGTCTGGGATAGAAGAGTGAAACCAGGTTTCTGTGATTAGCAAAACACAGCAGTCATTAGTAAAGTTTGCTTTTTACAATCTGCAGCCTTAATTTATCCATTTTGTTAGCAAGAGATCATGTATTGGTAAGAAAAATGCTTGGAATTGGATGCTTGTGTGGAGATTTACTCAACTTTAAGGAAACACCAGGATGACAACCTCTCTTTCTCCTTCCATTTCAGCCACCGCCGCTGCCTCCTTCCCACTGGAATTGTAATCCAAGGTTCCCCCAGGGTCATAGCTACTGCCTCCGGTACATTGTGAGAACAGATAAAATCCTCTGTAATAGCCTTTTCGCATTTCCTTCCAAGTTGTAACAGAGCTTCTATCTTGGCATCTAGGGGTTTGATCTTTCCCCCTCCGACTAGATGCCCTAGGTATCTTATTTCAGAGTTCCCAATTTGACATTTAGCAACTTTCACTGTCAAACCGGCATCACATAACCTTTGCAACACAATCTCTAGGTGGGACTTATGTTCCTCCCAGGTCTGCCTAAGAATACTGATGTCATCCATGTATGCCATAGTGAACTCCCTCAGGCCATACAGGGTTTTATCTACCAGCCTTTTAAACATGGCTGGTGCATTTTTTAACCCAAGACTCATAATCTGAAATTAGTATAATCCTAAAGGACTGCAAAAAGCTGTTTTCTCTTGGTCTTTAGGATTGATGGGCACTTGCCAAAACCTTTTAGTTAGATACAAACTGGATATATATGGACATTTCCCTATTGTTTCAATAAGGTTGTCGAGGTGAGGCACTGGATAGGCATCTGCCTTGGTAATATGATTTAGTTTTCGATAGTCCACACAGAACCTGATGCTCCCATCTGGTTTATTCACTAATATTATAGGAGCAGCCCATGGACTAATCAATGGCATAATATTAGCCTTTAGCATCTCACTCCACTTGGTGTGAATCTTGTCTACTGTATACAGCTGTTACCCCGAACGGGTGACAGCTATGGGCTGGGCGTCCCTAGTGTCTATTCTATGTACCCCATTGGCACTTCCAGGTTTGTGCAAAAACGCTGACCCATATTTCTGCAGGAGTACAAACCTCTTCTTTCTGCCTTGATGATGGAGCTGGACTAAGGACCACATCTTCAGGATTATTTTTAAATTCCCCCCTGCCTTCCCAGCATAGCAATTTTTGCTTCTCTTCTGGGTCTTCCTTGGCAGAATATAGAACCCAGTTTTCTTTTCTATAATACGGTTTTATCATGTTGACATGGACTACTTTACAGCCTTCATCTTCCCTTTGGAGAATATAATTGACATCATTCATTTTGGAGACCACGCTAACTGCAACTTATTTCTTTTTATGGGTTTCAACATTAATACTTATTCTCCAGGACTGAATGTTCTTTCTTGGGCTTTCTTGTCATACCAACTTTTCTGTCTATCTTGGGCCTCCTTTAGGTTTGCCCCAGCTATCTCTAGGGATCTTTTTAAGGTGTTCATTAAATTATCTGCATATTCTACAATCGACTCAGGGTCCTTTTCTTTATAATCTTCCCAATTCTGTTGTAACAAATCTTAAGCCCCTCTTATTTTATGACCAAACAAAAGTTCAAAAGGACTAAAACCTGTGCTTTCTTGGGGGATATCTTGATAAGCATATAGCAGTGGTTGTAATTTATTATCCCAAGCATTTGAGTTATCTGCCACATACGCACATATCATTCTCATTAAAGTTCCGTTAATTTTTTCCACTAACCCATTCATTTGGGGGTGATAAGGAGATGACATCACATGGGAAATTCCACAGACCTGCCATAGTCTCTTCATTAATTTGGAAATAAAGGAAATTCCTAAATCTGTTATTATTTCTGATGCAAAACCCATTCAGCACATATGACTAATTACAGTGGATCCTCGACTTACAGAATTAATCCGTATTGGAACTGTGGCTGCAGGTCAAAAAGTCTGAAGGTCGAGGCTCCATTGACCTACAATGCATTGAAAACCGATTAATCCGTAACCGGACGTTTTTGTTCAATTTTGGATTTTTTTTCCCGGTCTGTAGGTCAATTCTCTGGCTGCAAGTCGAACCTAAATTTTGCGACCAGAGAAGTCTGTAACTGGAAAAGTCTGTAAGTGGAGCAGTCTAAGTCGAGAGTCCACTGTAATGCATCTGTCACAGTTTCTGTCTCTATGTTTCTTAGAGGTACTGCTTCTGGGTATCTGGTGGCAAAATCAATAGTGGATAAAAAAAAAGGTTAATTAACTGTAACTCTGGTTCTTCAAGTGGTACCCTGTGAATTCACTCTAATTGGTTAAACCGCGCCTGTGCAGGAACTTCAGAAATTTCTAGAGCTTATTATACCATTTAATAAAAACGTTTCCAAACACTGCGCATGCTCCACCCGCCCTGAGGTACCTCAGTTCCAACTGTCCGCTGCTACCAAGGCTATATGCCTAAAAACTAGAACAACATGTGATGGAGGGGAGATAGGGCGGGACGTGTGAATTCACAAAGTACCATTTGAAGAACCGGAGTTACAGGTAAGTAACCTCTCTTTCTTCTTCATGGACTCTGTGAATCCACACGAATGGGTGACTAGCAAGCTCACTTACCGGAAGGAGGGCCATCACGGGAGAACATACGTTAATTCCGCCCTTCCAAAGTTTGCCTCCTTCTTGGCTCTGACATCAAGTCTGTAGTGAGAAGCAATCCACTCATCAGAGTGGACCAAGTAGCTCATCTACAGATGTCAGAAATGTCAACTCCACGCAACCAGGCAGTAGATACAGCCACAGCTCTGGTGGAATGAGCCCTCAGTAGAACAGAAGGAGCCTTGCCCAATATCTGATATGATATCCATTGGGATATCATTTGAGAGGAGGCAGGTTGTCCCATCTTAGGTTCATTAAAACATGAAAACAATTTAGGAGAAGCACGGAAGGTTTTAGTCCAAGAAACATAGAAAGTCAATGCACATTGAACATCAAGGGAGTGGAGCATGCGCTCAACATCAGAAGTCGGATTAGGAAATAATGTGGGAAGTATCATAAAAACTAGAAACAATCTTAGGGAGGAATGAAACATCAGGTTATAAGATAACCCTGTCAGGGTAAAACTATAAATAAGGCGGGTCATTCCACAGTGCAGCCAATTCACTGGCTCTCCTTGCCGATGTAATAGCAACCAAGAACAAGGTCTTCAAAGACAGAAGCTTGAGAGAAGACGAGGCCATGGGCTCGAAGGGAGGCTTTGTAAGGGCCTTCAGCACCATCTGAAAGGACCACTGAGGGACCAGAGTCCTGACTGGAGGACAGATATTGGATAGAATCTTTTGACTGTGGGGTGAGAAAAAAGACGTGCAGCACTCAAGTCTGCAGGTTGGTAGGAGACAATGGCTGACAGATACACCTTCAGTGTAGAGTGCACCAAGCCCAAGTTTCCTTAACTTTTTCAAAGCAATCATTTAAGGTGCTATCTTCTTTTTGTTCTTTAATAAAAGAGAAACAATTAGGATTTTTCATCAGCACCAAATAAGCAGTCTCCCTTATTTCAGAGTGTTCCCCTAAACTGGGTCTTTCAATGAGAGTGTCAGTGGTTGGGATTCCCATGCTTTCCTCAGCGGCGGCAATCTGCCTCCCCTGAGAGCAGGTTACCTTGCAAACACTCTGCACATGCTTTGAGAGATCGAAACCAATTAGACAAAGAGCTGGTATTTGATCTGACAGAGATACTTTCCATATACCAGGCCACCGATGGTAATTCAACGCTACTCTATTAGCAATATTACAAAATCAGAACTTATTCCTTTAAGAGTGATCTCCTGTTCCAACCTGTTCTTTCTAGGAATTATATCTGGGTGACAGATAGTAACTTGAGAACATGAGTCTCTAATTCCTAGATATTTTCCCCATTGATTAAAATCATTAAAATCATTTCCCCAGAGCTTTCCAATAAGTCTTGGTCACACTGGATTAAATAACACTGTTACACTCTGCCCTCGGGAAGCTTTGGGCTCTCTGTCCAGTCCGTTTTCTTAGCAACAGTGCAGCCATTAGAGGCCTCAACTGCCAAAGGCTGAAGGCAAAATACTTTTTTAGGCTGACTGAAACTACCATTCTTCTGAGCTTCACATTGGGACCCCAAATATCCTTCTTTACCATAAGCATCACATTACTTATTTTCCCTATGCCCAGAGTAAAGGGAATTATTAGTTTTTCCCTCAAGGTTATTTCATCTCGCTAGACTTTGCTCTGAGAAAGAGAGGTTACTTACCTGTAACCATGGTTCTTCAAGTGGACCTCTGTGAATTGACAGAGGTCCACTCGAAGAAAGCATGCAGACGGAGCATGCGCTATAAGGGCAACGTTCAATCAATGTTACTTTTTCTAAGCTCTAGAATATTCCGAGGAGTCAGATGCAAGCGCAGACTAAACCCTATTGTGTGCATTCACACAGGCCACGAAGAAGAATAAAGGTTTTGTTTTAAAATGGTTTTCATTAGCTTGGATATTACTGAGGTAATTTTTATTGAGGGATACTCCCTTCCTGTTGTCCCAGCCTTTTCTGTCAGTTTTTACTGTCAATTATTTTTAACTGTCAAGAATTATTTCTGTGTACCAAGAGACAATTTAGAATTTCAATAGTATGTCAGAATATACAAAGCTTTTCACAGAAATTTACCATGGATCAAAAGTACGCCCGTATTTTGACTATTCCCCACATTGTAGTTCTGTGGAGGGCAGATTTGAGACTATGTTGCCTACAGCCTCCTAATGAGATCTCTGCACAGAAGAATGATACAGCAAAACAGGAACTGTCTTATTTTAGACTAAATATTGGAGGCCAGGGTGGGGACAGTCACTTCTAAGTATATTGTTACATTTAAAATGTCTCTGCAAATTTTAAAAAAATCAAGCAGATCTGAAAGAAAGGATGTCACCCAGAACAGTTCTTGCTATCTTACAGAAATTTATATATATATATATAAATAAGCCAGGGAATATTCAAAGCCATAAGGCTTTTATGTAGTCTAAAGTGGCTAAGTCTATTCTACTAGACCTGAGTTGAAAGAAAGTCTGCACTATGAGTCCTTGGCTCACACTTGTCAGCTGTGACACAACTATCAAAACTATGTACTACTTCTGCGAAAGGAACATTTGCAAAGTTGGTCCCTTTTGAAATGATTCTTAGAAGGAAGTCTACCAACTGCGAATTCAAAATTTTATTTTCTTTACTGGTACTGACCCAGCAAAAACTCTTATGGCTTTGAAACCTGCATTAGCTAAATATCACTAGGTTTATTTAAATAATTCTAAATGCATATCTTACACATACCTGAATTGTTTTGCCATTCATGGCCCTCACCACATCTCCAGGCTTGTTTGCCTTTCCACTGGGTAAGTTTTCACAAAGGGGTGTCAAGCCTTAAAAATGAAAGAAGTCAGCTATTACTGTAATTGGACATCACAACGTTACTGGATGTTTCAATGGAACATTAGAAAACTTTGTTTCACAATTTACTTTGATGATTTAATTAGAAGCACTGCACTGCATTTTTATTTAGAAGTTTGATTCTTTGATATTCAGTTATTTGAAACAACAGAATCAGTTCATCTGTTCACCATTTTACTGAGGTAAACTGTTAGAAGATATGGCCAGTGGGCAACGCAGCTAGCAGTCTCTACAGCAAATCAGGCAGCAATGCCTTGGCATCCACTGACTTCACTTTCAGCCCTGTCTCTGTCCCATGCTTCAAAGAAGAACAGAGCTACCACTGGTCAAGACCTAAACACACTGAAACTGTTGCTGGGGAACATAGAGCCAGCTATGTTAGGATAAAGGCTCTCTCCTTCCCAATGCAAAAAGATGTAGAAGAGGGGCCTTACAGGCTACAACTGCCTATGGGATAGGCACCCAGCAGTTGGCTGAGATGCTTGTTTCTACCTTGTTTCTAGAATGTTTCTGGTGCTTGTTTGTACAGAAAAACTATGAATTGGGGTTCATCTATTTGAATGTCTCACCTAGGAATTCTCTTGACTATGGAATAAGTCTGACCTACCACTCAGCTTTATCAGATCTGATTTTGAAAGCAAAAGGCTGAAAGCAAAAGCAGCTATGAAAAGGGCTATTCTGGGTGTCTGTCCTACATAATATTTTGGGGATGAGCCAAAGCCAGCAGTAGCACACACTGCATGCAGAAATTTTGGCACAAATTTTGGTCTCTCCAATTAAAGATATTTCTGGTAATAGACCTGATGATGAACTCTCCACTTATTATCTCAGGCAGCCACTATCAGTCAGGGAAGACTATGCCAATGGTATGATGTAAGCAGCTTCACATATTTGCAAGGTATGCTGTATATACACACATACTGAAACCTCTCTTGGACATTTTCCATGCATTTTATCCCTCTCTTCCTCCCTCTTACACTTACCAATTATATTAAGGGGTAGCTTTAATTCTGCAGCAGTCACAATTGCCGAACAGATGGTGGCTGCTCCTCCCATATCAGCCCTCATGGCATCCATATTGGCAGATGGCTTAATAGAAATGCCACCACTGGGAAGAAAGAGTCATATGTATGTAACTAGACACAGATGTCATTGTAACTGGTGCAAACTTTTAATGGCAAGGGGGAGTTGCCATCTTATTTGAATTTCAGGTTTTGTTTCCAAAATATGCACCAGAAAATACTTACCTATCAAAAGTAATTCCTTTTCCAACAAATACCAATGGAGGTTCATTGGCATCACTGCTGCCCTTATAATGAATCTCCAAGAAGATTGGCAGTTCGTCTGAGCCTTTTGCAACACTCAAGAAAGATCCCATCTGTTGTGCTTCAATCCAAGATTTATCCCTGCAACAAGAAGACTTCACCCAGTTACACTTGTTACAAAACTAAAGGAAACAGAAGACATAATGAATTCAAAGTATCTTTTTTTAAATTACAAGACAACTGGGAACAAGAAGACTATAGAATGATGATGAAAAAAAATCATTTTTACTACCTATTTACTGCAAAGGTTAAACTAGAATGTGGCCTTTCTGTGTATTGATAGCAAAGGACATGGTCCTGGCTTTTCAAATGAAGAAAAGAGGATGATAAAAAATCCACCTCTCAATTCCAATATGCAAAAATGCAAACAGGAGAGAGGAAAGAATGAAAGAGCAGGTAGAACCAGTCTACTGACTGCCAACAAGTTATAAATAAATAAATAAATAAAATGGTTTTAGCATAGCTGCATAAGCTTTAAGGAACGGGGAGGAAAGCTGAAACAAGGAAATCTGTCCGCCTACAATCTAATTCAAGAATACACAGATTCCTTAACATACCAATAAACATCTGACTAAAGGATAGCAAACCAGCATTGGGTCACAGCAAACAACCAGAAACAAGTACTGTTGCTTTCACAGTTTTCATTCAACAATTTCAACAGAATCATTTAAACAAAATTTACCTGATATGTACAGTCACATTGCTACCAACACTTTTGAGTTTCTCTTCAATAACAGCAGCAAATCTGGTAGGTGTGATATAGTTAGCTGGAGCCTCCATTAGGTATCGGGCCAAGTTCTGGCCCTTTGCATACATAAGGCCTTTCTTCCAGGCTTCAGTTCCATCACTAGAAAGGAATAAATCAAAGACTATCATGAAGAATCCGTGCAGAAATGAGAAGCCAGAATTCAGCAATTCAATATACACTGGTACGCATGACAGAGTGACAGAGCTGATGAAGAAGATCAAAATCAGATCAAACTAAGCATATGTTAGATACTGCTTTACCAGCACTTGAAAATAATTAGTTAAGGTTTATTCATTACCCCTGAATTATTAAAATGTTCATGAACTCTCTAAAATCCCATTATTTTAGTTGTTGAACACCAACAAATGTTATTCATAAGAACATAAGAAGAGACCTGTTGCACCAGGCCAAGAGCCCATCTAATCCAGCTCTCTACATCTCACAGTGGCCTCACCAGATGCCTCTGGGAGCACATGAGACAATTAGATAAATGTCTTGTGATACCCCTCCCCTGCACCTGGCATTTGGAGGTACCTTCCTTCTAAGCCTGGAGCTTGTATATCCCCATCATGTCTTGTAACTTGTGATGAACTTTTCCTCCAGAAATCAGTCCAATACTTTTAAAGGCATCTAGGTCAGATGCCGTCACCACATCCTGTGGCAATGGGTTCCACAGACTAATACCACACTGGGTAAATAAATATTTTCTTTTGTCTGTTCTCACTCTCCCAACACTCAATTTGAGTGGATGTCCCCTGGTTCTGGTATTGTGCGAGAGGGAAAAGAGCTTCCCTCTATCCACTTTATCCATCCCCTGAATAATTTTATACATCTCAATCATGTCCCCCCTCAGGTGCCTTTTCTCTACACTAAAGAGCCCCAAACACTGTAGCCTTTCCTCATAAGAGAGGTGCCCCAGTTCAGTCATATGGCACTGTGGCCATTTTAAGATGCAAGTTGTATATTTTGAGATCAGAACTTCATTTCTCCGTTCCTTAATAACCCTTTGGTGGATGTCATCTGGGCCTGATGACTTACTGATCTTAAATTATCAATTATGTCTAAAACATCCTCTCTTCTAACCTGTATCTGATTTATTTCATTAGTCAGGAGGGGCCGTCCGGGCAGCGGAATCTGCTCAAAGTCTTTTGTTTCCTGCTTCTAACATATTTAAAGAAGCTTTTATTATTACCCTTTATATTGCTTCTTTGCCTTCCGTATCATCATCATCTTACATTTCTTTTGCCAGAGTTTGTGTGTGTTTTTATTTTCCTCATTTAGGAAGGATTTCCATTTTCAGAAGCACCCCTCCTTGCCCTTCAAAGCCTCTCCAACTCTGCTCGTTAACCATGCCGGCACCCTCTTGGACTTAGCTCAGCCCTTCTTTCTTTGTGGAAAGAAGGCCTCTGGGCCTCTACTACCGTTGTTTTAAACAGGCTCCATGGATTCTGGAGAGACTGGATTCTTTTTACCTTCCCTTTCAACTTCTTTCTAACTAGTTTCCTCATCTGAGGAAAGTCCGTCCTTCATAAATCAAGGGTTTTTGTGTTAGATTTGCTTGACACTCTCCTCCCAACATGCATGGCAAAAGAGATTGCACCGTGGTCACTATTTCCTAGCGGCTCAGTGACATTCACATCCCTAACCAGGTCCTGAGTATTCTTTGAGTAACAGTCACCAGTTCTCCTTACTTCAATTTGTTACTAGTTATTTCTTTACATTTAAATATTTTTTTCTAAATTTAACAATGTTAAGAGTTACCGTAGCTGATAAACTGAACACATTAATTTCATTAAAGTTTGTTACTGGCTTAACACTAATTAATTAAATCTCTAACAATTCAGTGCTAGCACATTATCAACAATGCTAACAATACACTGTTTCCAAGATCTGGGCACGACTCTAAACACGGTTGACACTTGTTGCTGAAATGAAGAAGACTTGAGGTCTTGTTCATTTATACTTGAACCTGGTTCAATACTCAGTTCTTTATCCACTCTTCACTTTTCTTTAAAGAATCCTTTGTTACTGCAGTAAACCAAGGAAGCAGCAACATTTAAAACACACCATGAGCCATTTTTAAATGACACAGTCAAACAGAAAAGACAAGCAACTATGAAATTTGATTCCAGACACAAGCGTGATTTCTCAGCTAATCACCTTCCATGTAGCTGAACTTCAACCACAGGCTTCTTTTTTTGCTTCAGTTCATCATATTCAAAGAGTCCAAGGACAGCTCCTTCAGCTGCAGCCTGAGCATCTCCACAAGGATCAACTTCTACGCTAGTGACCTCAAGGTCCTGAACCTGCCTGCATCCAACTGAAGAATGAAATATAAATATCCATAATATGAACAACTGAAATGGGGAGGTAGAAATAGAAAGGAAAAAGACGCAAAGCAAGCAACTCAATCCATCAGGTAATACAGACCAGTGCATTAAAATTCCTATCTGCACTTAGAACAACTAAATGAAGAAGCTATTTATTAATCCATTACCAACCAATACATTTTCAATACATTTACCTAGCAACTTCTGTTTGCAAAGCAGTTTAGCAAGAATGGGAAAGTTCTTCAACCAGCACAATGTTGAGTAAGTGGTTTTTGCTGGTCAAAGTCTATAATCATTATTTTAAAACTACACCATAAAAGGACTTTTGAAGAAAATATGACTTATTTAGGGTTTTTTCTTTAAGAAGGCCATATGTTCATGCAATGCATGGGAACAGTTTGATTTATAAAACTACTTTATGGTCCTCCTAATCATGGAAATATGTAACTAAGTTTATGCTTTAGCAAGATAAGAAGAAAGAAAGGAGCTGCTTGCAAAATGCTGTGAATAAGATAAGGATAAACCATAAGGATTCTTTTTCCATGCTCTCATAGGTCATTTGTTATACAAGCTGTATCTGTCAAAGTTCCATAGTGCAGTTGAAGTTCTTTTGGGTTTTTTTTAAAAAAGAAATAAAGCAATGGTAATATCAACAATGGATTTTAAGTTTAATTCTTCTTTACCCATCTTTTTCTTTGTATGCAAAGGACTGCAATCTTAGCTTCTAGCTCTAAAACTCACATTTATCTTCACAATGCAGTGTGTATCCAGCTGAAGCAGCAATTTAATAAATAAGATAATAGTCAAATAAAGATTTCATTTCAACCTACTTGCAACAGCTGTCCGTATGTTTTCCTTGTCTTCATTCCAGTTTTCTAGATCATTCACTCCTGCTCCCTTCTTACCCAAGCCAACAACTACTATGCTTGAAAAGTCCTACAGAAAACCAGCATATGAGCTTATTTAAACTTTCTATTCACACCAAAAATCATGTTCTTATGAAACATAGATGTAAATTCAACTTTTACTTAATTCATACTTAAAATGATTATATCACTTTGCTGATACGAACAGATGACCATAAAAACAGATAATTAGGGACCAAATATTTCCTAGAGAACCTCAACTAAAATGAATGGAAAAGTTATTTTGGAAGTGCACCATAGTCAGAGACCTCTATACAGCTGACAGACTCCATAAAGTAGGCAGCATCATCTGCTAGATAGAAAGACAAAAATCAATGGAAAAGCAGCAACACTAGCTTTTTATAGCAGCCCTACAGCACCTTCCTTTTAATACTCAGAAAAATATCTATGTCCACATTTCATTATCTGAGGATTTATTTTATTTTTTATTTAATTCTGATTTTAAAGAGCAAAAGCTTTAATTTTGGCTATGCCTTTTACATATGCAATTAGTTACACGTTTTACTCTTAATTGTCTTGGATACGGCATAAAACAGTTATGTTGTTGTTTAGTCGTTAAGTTGTGTCCGACTCTTTGTGACCCCATGGACCAGAGCACGCCAGGCCCTCCTGTCTTCCACTGCCTCCTGGAACTCCTCTTGCCTTCACACTTTCCCAGCATCAGGGTCTTTTCCAGGGAGACTTCTCATCAGATGGCCAAAGTATTGGAGCCTCAGCTTCAGGATCTGTCCTTCCAGTGAGCACTCAGGCTTGATTTCCTTCAAAATGGATAGGTTTTTTTTCTCTTTGCAGTCCAGGGGACTCTCAAGAACCTCTTCCAGCACCACAATTGAAAAGCATCAATTCTTTGGCAGTCAGCCTTCTTTATTGTCCAGCTCTCATTTTCATACATTGCTACTGGAAAAACTATAGCTTTGACTATGCAGACCTTTGTCGGCAAGGTGATGTCTCTGCTTTTTCAGATGCTGTCTAGGTTTGTCATTGCTTTCCTCTCAAGAAGCAGGCATCTTTTAATTTCATAGCTGCTGTCACCATCTGCAGTGATTATGGAGCCCAAGAAAGTAAAATCTGTCACGGCCTCCATATCTTCCCCTTCTATTTGCCAGGAGGTGATGGGGCCAGTAGCCATGATCTTAGTTTTGTTTTTTTATGTTGAGCTTCGGACCATTTTTTGTGCTCTCCTCTTTCACCCTCATTAAGAGGTTATTTAAGTCCTCACTTTCTGCCATCAGAGTGGTATCATCTGCATATCTGAGGTTGTTGATATTTCTTCTGGCAATCTTAATTCCGGCTTCGGAGTCATCCAGTCCTGCCTTTCGCATGATGTATTCTGGATGTAAGTTAAATAAGGAGGGTGACAATATACAGCCTTGTCGTACTCCTTTCCCAATTTTGAACCAAACAGTTTTTCCATGTCCAGTTTTACTGTTGCTTCCTGTCCCACATATAGGTTTCTCAGGAGATAGATAAGTTGGTCAGGCACTCCCATTTCTTTAAGGACTTGCCATAGTTTGTTGTGGTCCACATAGTCAAAGGCTTTTGCATAGTCAATGAAGCAGAAGTAAATGTTTTTCTGGAACTCTCTGGCTTTATCCATAATAAAGCGCATGTTAGTAATTTGGTCTCGAGTTCTTCTGCCCCTTCAAAATCCAGTTTGTACTTCTGGGAGGTCTCAGTTCACATACTGCAGAAGCCTGCCTTGTAGCATAACCTAGCAAGCGTGTGAAATGACTGCAATTGTATGGTAGCTGGAGCATTCTTTGGCAATGCCCTCCTTTGGGATTGGGATGTAAACTGACATTTTCCAATCCTCTGGCCACTGCTGAGTTTTCCAACCTCGCTGAAATATTGAGTGTAGCACCTTAATAGCGCCATCTTTTAAGATTTTAAATAGTTCACCTGGCATGCCATCCCCTCCACTGGCCTTGTTATTAGCCATGCTTTCTAAGGCCCACTTGACTTCACTCTCCAAGATGTCTGGCTCAAGGTCACCAACCACAGTATCTGGGTTGTCTGGAACATCCAAATCTTTCTGGTATAATTCCTCTGTTTATTCTTGCCATGTCTTCTTGATGTCTTCTGTTTCTCTGAGGTCCTTACCATTTTTGTCCTTTATTATATCCATCTTTGCTCAAAATGTTCCTTTAATAGCTCCAATCTTCTTGAACAGATCTCTGGTTTTTCCCTTTCTATTCTTTTCCTCTATTACTTTGCACTGTTCATTTTAAAAGGCCCTCTCGTCTCTCCTTGCTATTCTTTGGAAGTCTGCATTCAATTTTTTGTAACTTTCCCTATCTCCCTTGCATTTGGTTTCCCTTCTCCTCTCTGCTATTTGTAAGGCTTCACTGGGCAGCCACTTTGCTTTCTTGCATTTCCTTTTCTTTGGGATGGTTTTTGTTGCCTCCTCTACAATCTTACGAACCTCCATCCATAGTTCTTCAGGCACTCTGTCCATGAAATCTAGTTCCTTAAATCTGTTCTTCACTTCCACTGTGCATAAGGGATTTGATTTAGATTATACCTGACTAGCCCATTGGTTTTTCCTACTATATTCAGTTTAAGCTTGAGTTTTGCTATAAGAAACTGATGATCAGAGCCACAATCAGCTCCAGGTCTTGTTTTTGCTGACTGTATAGAGCTTCTCCATCTTTGGCTGCAGAGAATATAATCAATCTGATTTCGGTACTGCCCATCTGGTGATGTCCACGTGTCGAGTCGCTTCTTGCGTTGTTGGAAAAGAGTGTTGTGATGACCAGCTTGTTCTCTTGACAAAACTCTATTAGCCTTTGCTCTGCTTCATTCTGAACTCCAAGGCCAAACTTACCTGTTGTTCCTTTTATCTCGACTCCCTACTTTAGCATTCCACTCTCCTATAATGCAAGAACATATTTCTTTGGTATCAGTTATAGAAGCCGTTGTAAGTCTTCATAGAATTGGTCCATTTCAGCCTCTTCAGCATCGGTGGTTGGTGCATAATCTTGGATTACTGCAATGTTGAAAGGTCCCAGTACAGCTTTTCCTACTCTTTTGTTCACTATAAGGGCTACTCCATTTCTTCTACGGGATTCTTGCCCACGATAGTAGATATGATAATCATCTGAATTGAATTCGCCCATTCCTGTCCTTTTTAGTTTACTGATGCTCAGGATGTCAATGTTTATTCTTGCCATCTCGTTAGACCACATCCAGCTTCCCAAGGTTCATAGATCTTACATTCCGGGTTCCTATACAGTATCTTTCTTTGCAGCATCGCACTTTCCTTTCACTTCCAGGCGCATCCACAGCTGAGTGTCCTTTCGGCTTTGGCCCAACTTCATTAGCTCTAGAGCTACTTGTACTTGTCCTCTGTTCTTCCTCAGTAGCATGCTGGATGCCTTCCAACCTGAGGAGCTCATCTTCCAGCATCATATCTTTTAGCCTTTTGTTTCTGTTCATGGAAGTTTTCTTGGCAAAGATACTGGAGCATGCTTGCCAGTTCCTGCTCCAGGTGGATCATGTTTAGTCAGAACTCTCCACTATGACCTATCTGTCTTGGGTGTCCCTGCACGGCAAATGAACATCACTGAAAGGCATAATGTAGCACAGGATTGCATACAACCTCAAATCTACTCTTTCTTCCCAGAATTTTTGCTAAAGTTAAAAATCACATGGCGACATTTTCTCAAATATACAAGTATTGTACATCTTGCAATAGCTGTGGTTTATAAAATTTTTTACTATCTTATAAATATTTCTTTAAATATTTACACCCAGAAATGGGAAGACCTGGGGGGAAAAGAGAATAATTGGGGGAAAAATTATTTCTCCAGGTTTTCCCCCATAGCTGTTTTCTGTTTTTTCTTGCTTTCAGAAAAATTAAAAAAAAACTATGGAGTGTGGAACATGTTCTTCTACAATGATAAATAATAATAATTACACGCCAGTTAAAAGTGTCCTACAGAGTTCCTAGAGCAGCTCTCAGCACACATCACAAGGTCAACAAAGCTAAAAACCTCTTGCCCAGTTTGATAGGTTTAAGAAAAGCAAGCATCAAAAACAAGATTCACAAGAATTCTACCTAGAGCCCACAGATGCTTTGCTCCAAAGTTCAGTTCTCAGCTTCCGGCCAATCTAACACTGTTCTAAAAGAGGAGAAACATATGCCCTACCAGATCTAATGATGCCGGAATGTAACTGCCTTTCATAGAATAAAGTTGGAAGGAGTCTATAAGACCATAGAATTCAACCCCTTTCTCAATGCAGGAATAGAAATCAAAGGATATCAGCCATGTGGTTGTTTAAATTTGTCTTGAATGCCTCCAGTGTTGGAGCACTCGCCACCTCTCAAGATAATTAGTTCCACTGCAATACTGCTCTAAAAGGAGGTTTTTCCTGATATTCAGACAAAATCTGACTTCCTTTAACCTGCCCATTGTTGCATGTCCTGCACCCTGGAATGTCTGAGAACAGATCCTGCCCTTACTCTGTATAACAGCCTTTCAAGTATAACAGCTTTTCAAGTATTCACATTTTCCTTCAGTCTTCTTTCCTCAAGGCTAAACATGTCCAATTTTTTTCAATTTTTTACATAGGGCTTGGTTTCCAGTTTCCTGAACATCCTTGTTGCCTTCCTTTGAACTTGTTCCAATTTATCAGCATGTCTCTTGAAGTGTGGCATCCGGAACTGAACACAGTACTCAAGGTGAGGCCTAACCATAGCCGAATAGAGGGGAACTAGTATTCCACAAGATTTGGAGACCATATTTCTGTTAATGCAGCCTAAAATAGCACTTGCCTATTTGTAGCCACATCATATTGTTGGCTCATATTCAGCTTATGATCTACGACAATTCCAAAGTCCTTCTAGCAATATTGCTGAGTCAGGCCCCCCGGCTTGCAACTGTATGTTTGGTTTCTTTTTTCCTAAGTACAGTACTTTGCACTTATCCCTGTTAAATTTCATTCTTGTTTTCAGCCCACTGCTCAAACCTATTCAGATCATTTTGAATTTTGTTTCTGTATTAGGTGTTCCACCCAATTTTGTGTAATATGCAGATCGGATTAGCATTTCCTGCACCCCCTGTTCCAGGTCATTAATAAAAATGTTGCAGAACACAGGGGCCATAACTGAGTTCTGGGGTGTAACCCACTTGTTATTTCCTCCCAGTTTGAAAAGGAGCCATTAATCATCACCCTCTGAGTATGATTCTATAGCCAACTGTGTATCCACCTGACAGTTCTTCTATCAAGCCTACACTTAGGTAGCTTCCTAATCAAATATCATGAGGCACTTTGTCAAAAGCTTTGCTGAAGTCAAGATATATGATATCTACAGCATTCCCTCTGTCTAATCAGTGAGGTTACTCAATAAAAAATGAGATTAGATTTTCTGGCAGGATTTCTTCCTGACAAATCTGCTGGTTTTATTACTGCATTGTTTACTAGGTGCCTGCATAATGACCACTTTATAAGCTGTTTCAGAATTTTTGCTGGGATTGATGTCAGGCCAACTGGTCTGTACTTTCCAGGTTCCTCTCTTTTGCCCTTTTTGAAGACAGGGACAATACTGGCTCTCTTTCAATCATCTGGCACTTCACCCAATTCTCATGATTTCAAGAAAACAATGGACAGTGGTTCTGAGAGTTCTTTGGCCAGTTCCTTCAATAAACAAACAAAAACAAAAAAAGAAGAAAAAACTCAACAAAGCCTGGCTCCCAGCACTGAAAAATACAGCCTATAAAAGGTCAACGAACTCTACCCAGCCACAAGGACCGGTGATCACTGCACACAAAAGACCAGCTAACAACACCCATCAATCACAGTGACAGATCATCTCTTTCCTTATCACAACAATACAGTGGTGCCTTGCTTAACGGGCGCCCCGTTTAACGACGAAACAGCATAGTGATTATTTTTTTGCGATCGGTTTTACTATCGCATTGCGATGTTCCCTATGGGGAAAAATCGCTTTGCGATCATCGGTACCCTGCTTCGCTTACCGATCATCGCAAAGCGATGATTTTTTAACAACTGATTGGCGGTTCCAAAATGGCCACTGGGTAAACAAAATGGCCACCCGCTGTGTTTTCGTGCCGATTCCTTGCTTACCGGGCAGCGAAAATGGCGGCCTATGGAGGATTTTCGCATTAAGGTGAGTTTTAAGCCCATAGGAAAGCACTGAAGGGGTTTTAATGCATTCCTATGGGCTTTTAAAACTTGCACAGCGACGAAATCACTTTGTAGTGATTTTTGCTGCACGGATTATCGTCGCTATGCGGGGCACCACTGTACACCCACAACAAAAAAACATGCTGATCACCATAATCACCCAACCTCCTGAAAAGGACAAAAGTCGATCTCACAGCTATAAATACTCAACTATCCCACAAAACTGCACCAGAGCACAAACAATGTTCTGACTCCTGTCCTCTGAAGATGCCGGCCACAGAGACTGGTGAAACATTAGAAAGAACAACCTTCAGAACATGGCCAAACAACCCAAAAAACCTACAATAACCATCCTTCAATATTCTTGGATGCAGTTCATCTGACCCTAAGGATCTGAACTCATTCATTTGTTTTTCAGTCTCCAGCTCTGGTCTCAGTGCACTAGCACTGGAGTGGGGGGTGGATTGGGGGCTGAGAAAATGTACTGTCTGGTTTGACCCTTACTAGAATTCTAGTTCCAGAGAAGCGTAACCAAAACAAAGCTTTACATTGTTGCTGGATTCATTTCTTCAGTACAATAAAAATAAGATACAATTACGCAGAAATACTATGAAGTCACAGTTTTAAAAGGTTAAATATTAATTCCATACCTGATGCAAGCCATGAAAGATCCGTGTCTTTCCTTTCTTCAGTGGAGGTCCAGAACTAGAATACAGCACAGATATTCTCATGAGGTCACTGAAGAATGAGTGACAGGCAGGACTGCTGACAGACTAAAATAATACTTAGTACCTGCAGTAAAATTTTGGGTAGCATGGAGAAGAACACTGCAACTTCAGATCAGGCTGCTGGCTGATTTTAAGTGTGACTGTTTATTGCTTACTGATATTGTGTCAGATGATCACTGTGCTTGGTATATCACTATGCTATTAGATAATCAATGAATGTGCAGGACAGAAATAAATTATCATTATCATCACTTCATAACTGCTGAGATAGCAGTGAGTGTTGCTTGTGAAGGACTTGGCAAACAGAGGGTTAATTCATTCCCTGTGGTCTTTGAAAGTGTGTGCCTGGTAGTGGAATTGGACAGATGAAAGGTGAGAGAACCATCTTTCAATTAAGAGAATTGTCTATAGCTGTTTGGAATGTTATCTAAAAGTTTCAAGGCCAGAGAAAGCTGTAAGAAACCTCTTCCCATAGTACATTAATTGCTAGTCTTGCCTCGCCTGAGGGCGTTGGTGGTGGAGATTCATGAAACAAGTCATTCTTGTAAAAAGTTACCTACCAGAAGCTTCAGGGAGGAGAGAAACATGACAGGTAGAAAAGGACTGAAACATCTATCGGGGATGATGGAATATAAGGAGGAGCTGAATAATGGAGCTCTCAAGCTTTTGTCAAGTGGGTGTTTGTCCAGCTGCTGCTTGCTTTGCTTAATCTATCAGGAGAATGTAATGTTTCATGTTATTCTACTGAACTCTGCATATGTACTGGAACTATGCTAAAGCTTTAGTACTTTGTAAGTATAGATGTAGTTAGCTAATTTTATTATTTTTTGTGAGTTTTATTCTAAATTACCTGGTCTCTGAATAAGGGTTTGTTGGTTTTTGTTGTTGTTATTGTTTGCTTTTCATTATGGATTTGCTTCACGTCATTTTGATCCTTTTGGAAGCTTTAATTCTGCTTTGGAACATGTACAGTATATCTTTTTGAAACACCTTCAATAAAAATATATTTTTCCGGGATTGGTGGCATTGAAGAAGGTGCCTTGTACTCTGAATACTATGTGTGGTTTTCTTTTTAAGTACTACTTTGCAGGGTTGGTTGCAGCAACAAGCAACAACCTTGTAGTTTCTTTGTCTATCCCTGGAACTCTAAAGGAGCAAGCAGGCTCAGAAGTATTGGGAAGGGGGTCACACACAAAGTTTTTCCCATCCAGGGTAAACAAAAGTAGTGTGGCTGAGTGGTCAGTGGATCCTCTGTATGGTGACCAGTGTTACAACACTCCTGAAACCCAAGAAAAGATTAGAAAGAACTCTGTGTTGCTACCACATAAGAAAGGAACAGCAAAACAGTTGGAACAAGGCTCATAATGCTCCTTCCAACTGGAGCAAGGTCACAGCAAATAGGCAGATAAGAACAAGCAAAAAAGGATGAAGAAACTAAGCCAGTAGGGCCTACCTAAGGTACTCTGGTACCAGAGACAGAGCAGCATTATAGTATCTCCACACACACACACACACAAAACACAAATAAAGTGTGCAGCACACAATGGCAGTCAGATTGTAAGATAGAAAAATTCCATAAGAACTGCTTTCCATCCCTGGGAACACCAAAAATAAATCCCTTTCTCATAACACCCAATATTTAGTTTCTCACTGTGCCTAATAGTAAGGCCAGGTGCCAGGAGCAGCAATGAAGGAGGCAAGAAGTTAAGTTGGTGGGAAGGTGCATTTTCCCTTTAGCTATTTGCAAAAAAAATTTCACCTCTTGTGTTATTTCTGCAATATATGACTGAAATAAATAGACAAAAACCATTTTGATACTTACATTGTCAACAACTCACTAAGCTTTCCAGACACAACCTTGTCAAAGGCATCTCCTGCACTGGTAAACTGAGAAGCTTCATTTTCTTTCTCACTGGCAAACAATCCTAGGATGAGGCCCTAAACAAAGATGGATTACTAGTTAGATATCATCCCTCAAAATAATCACAAGACCTCCAGGGTACAAGAGGAGAAAGAACAAACCTATACTCACAGAAGCACAAAGCTGTATCACTAAGGCAGATAGGCATACGCTAATGAAATAAGATAACTGGAAGAAAACATGAAACAAGGAAAATGTGTAACAAGATGTTTTAAAAATTAACCAGTCAAATTAACTGATGTGCCCTTATTAATCAAGAAGCAGAGAGCATTAACAGAGCTGGACTGAGACTATTTCTGTGGCAACTTGCCATTATTGGTCTGAGGGTTGCTCCTTACATAGTCATCCCTAAAGAGGTTTTGCATACTTATTATACTTTATCTTTCTGAATACCTCACATCAAACACTAGCAGTCAAACTGGAAGAGTGACCTAAATTACTGTCTGATTGCTCAAGTTTACCTACGGCATGTGTATCCCTGATAAATTATTATGAAAGAAACTAGATGAAGGAACCAGTAGGATAATCAAAGAAGACAGAACAGGATTATAACAAGTTAGCTTGGTTAAAAAAAGACAAATGAGTCACATTTTAAGGGTCAATTTACATTAAAATATTAATTTTGAGAATACATTCAGTGTAATAAGTTAGCTCCCTTTTCACCAATTTTGTTGCATGCAATACTGAAAAATTACTTTTCTGTGAAGCATATATTAGAAAGAATGAACCAGTTATGGCACGATTGTGCATGGGAAGCTCCAAAATGACTTGGAAAAATTTATGGTAAGATATCAGAATGCAATACATACAGGAAAGCTGTCCTGAAGAGCTCCACAGATACATTTGCCAGACTTTGAGGGGAGCAAGTAGTCTTTCTCTCACCATCATCACTTTCACAGGTGAAAAGCAATACACCTACCACAGAGACATTCCTGTTTGCATGTAAACATGGCATGGACAACTAAATATTTTTAAGATTCAGTTTGATTTCTGTGGTAGACACATTGCTTTCCATGTAGACAGCAAGAGCACAGAAGGGAGGGGCTACGTGCTTCCCTCAAAGTTAGCTAAGATTATATTGGGAGGCAATTAGTACTTATTTTCTTTCACACTGTTTCTCACTTGGAAAAGAATATTCCCAGAGGCTTTGCCATGGTTATTCCACCTGGTTCTGTTTTCAGCCTAAACAGGATTAAACAGAAGAGATAGCTAAAGTTGAGCACATTTTATGCTCGTTTATCACAGGATGTCCTAAACTCTCTACAACATGCAATTAAGCAGATGATCATACAATACTTCAACATTACTTACCTTGTTTGAACCCAAAATACTACCATGTTGGACATTTATCGGCTGCATGACTTCCACCCCTGGTTTCCTGAGCTCTAAAAGCAGTGAGCAAAGGCCACCAGTTTTATAGCAGGGAAGGGCATTTTGTCCCGCCTCCTATTATCTCCTCCTAGTGATAACTGGGGCTGAAAAAACTCAGAATACTCAGTGTGCAGCAGCACGGGGTGGTCAAAAAAGTAAGGGAGAGCAAAGCATGGTGTGCCAAAACAATTAAGGATGTTAGTCCTTTTGAAGATTCAAAACAGTGGAACAAGACGTCTGCTGCATTTCTGAAATACATTGTTGCTAATCTTAATTTCATGTTGGCTCAAACAACAAAGGAACAAGCCAGGAGGGGCATTCAGAATGAAAAAAGTATGTGATGTGTAGCAGGAGTCTAAGGACTAAAATAAGCACATATACAGTACCTTGTTTTGTTACTGAATACAAAAGAGACAAAAGCCCACTCACTCTGGATTTCAATAAGTGTGTTTCCAGCTACTCAACTACCTCCATTCATTCCAAAGGAGTTTATGGAAGAAATGTAATCTCTAGCCATTTCAGACTGCAACATGGATCTCACTGTTGGATAATTATGCCTATTTTTGCTTTCTCCCTTTGGGGTTAAGAAGATCAGGCATCCCATGTTATTTTAACAGCTATCCATACAAGAAAATTTTAGAAGGTACAGCATCTCACACGAGGAAGAAAAGCTGCATTTACCAATTATTTCAGACAACCATTAAAATTTTATTTGTGCCTAGGCAAAGATTCAATAGGTGTATTTCCATCTGCAGTGCCATTTAGACTGGGACCTGCTTCTCCTCAATGACCTCCCTCTGCTGCTGCAAACTTCTGCAATACTAAAAAAAAGTACTCCACAGGGTTTCAACACCCTGCAGGACAGGTGTTTTTTTGGGTTTTTTTTTGCAAGAAAAGCAGTGATAGAGCCCAATTCACTAACTGAAGATTAACATTATAGCTCAAGAATGCAGATGCTTTGGCCTGCCAGATGTTGTGGTTAAGGATAAGGGACTATAGATACAGGAGTCCAAAATATGTAGAGGTCCAAGGATTCCCCACCATTTTAAACAAACATACTAACTGACTGAGTTACTTATAACCCAATGGGGGAGCGTTGCCATACAGGATATTCGAGACTAACGGTCCTCCCACACAGCTAAATAGATCACTGTCTGGATTGCTGTTGGTATGATTTGGTTTAAACCAAGTTACAGTACAGCATATGCACATGTGTTTCCATTTAGATTGAACTGTCTTACACTTTTCTGAGCTGGCCTGCTCCTTTCTGGTACAGCACCAAGGGACTCTGGTTTTTTTTGTTTTTTTTTTTTGGTACAATTCAGTGCACTCCTGATTACTCATTGCTTAGCCTGGGCAATTGGTTATTTTGCATTAAATGATGTGGGAAGCATTATCTGAAGTGACAAACATGCGATGTAACATGTGGTTTATGATGTTAAAAGAGAGCGGAAAAATTCCCTCCTCTATTTTTGTCATCTTTTTTAAATATTTCCATAACTGATGCAACACAATTCTTAATACCATGCTAGGCTGATGCTCTACTCTTTCAATAGGCCAGTTAATGTACTTAACAAAAAGACTTCCTGCTTACTGAACAGGCGCTTTCTTGGACTTCAGTCCCACTACTATAGTGGCAGGCTAAAGTTCACAGCCACTTATGCCAAATAAACTTTCTTAATCTTTTAATTACCCCCCCCCTCCGACTCTCTTGGTGCTTCTGCTAGTTCTCGCAGGGCCCCACTGCTGCTTTCGGACATAAGGGCCTATGAGGCTCCAGAACAGCAGCCCCCCTGGCAACTCGAAAAGACCTTCCAAGAGTAGGACGCGCACGCGCACTCCCGCCTTCCTTCTCCGGGAACGGCCCAGCGACCCCGAGGCGCCCTGCTTTGAATTCGTCAAGCACGTCTCTCGCCCTTTCCCGCGTCCCCGTTCCCTTCTGTTCTTCCCCTTGTGGTGAAGCCCCTACCTGCTTCCCCGTGACGGTGCTGCGGCCGCGGGTGGAGATGGACAGCAAGGAGGCCATGGAGACGGAGAGAGCATGGCGGGCGAGGCGGGCCTTCCCCTTCGCCAGCAGGAGCAGAAGCCGCATGGTCGCGGGTGCGGGTCGGGCGGCGGCGGGGCGGCCCTAAAGCCCCTCCCTCAACGGGAGGAAAGGCAGGAAAGGCTCGCTCGCGCCGCCACCCCGGCGGCCCCTTCCCTTTCCACCCCCTTCGGTGACGAGAGGCGCCGCTCGCTTTATCAGGCAAGAGGGCGGCCTGGAGCAAGAAGGGCCATAGTCGGAGAAGTTGCGGAGAAGCAGATTGCGAAACGCCGGGAGGAGAAAAGGCGCGCGCGTGGGAAGAGCGCCTCGGGAAGCAACATGCATTTTGCGGCAGTTTCCCCGCTTTCAAGAGTACATTGGGATAGTTACTTTTTTCAGACTACAGTTCCCGGAACCTCCCCCCCCCCCCATCTAGC